AACCCAACCAAGATGACCACTAATAACTCTATACAGTTTCCATGGTGCATGCCACTTTGGTTTTGCCATAGAAGGTGCCTTTTTTTGTGGTATAAGTACTGTATTATTAACTGCATTTCCTCCTGAATTTATTTGTGTTGCTACCATTGTGTTACTATTGTTTTGTTGTGGATTATAAGGTACAAGAATAGTATTATTATTTCCTCCAAAAGATTCATCTGCAAAGAATATTCTTATTATTAAAACAATAATAATAGTAAAAAGTAAGCTATTATTATTGAAAGAATAAATATATATATAAATACCGCCTGGTGGTGGAGGGTCTGAATTTTCATTTTGAGCTTTTATTATATTGTTATTTTTGACACGCTCTAATACAGGACCATAAGAGTCTTTTCCTTTTACAGATTTTTTCATTTTTTGCCTATAAGACATTAATATAGCATTTGGGTTAATATATGGTATTTGCATTAGTAGGGCAAAATATACTTACAAGTTAGGATCCACTGGTGGTAAAGTACCTTGATTTAATAAAAACATATCATGTGTTCTCTTTAAGGAACGAAATACAAGAGTATGTACAGAATGTCTTTGTACGTCCTATAGAGAAGAATATATCAATTAAAAATTTGTTACTTAAAACTCACATTACTGTCATGATTTAATTTTTTCAATAATAGTATTTAATAATGCCACAGTAACTGAATTTATATTTTTATAAATTAAAAGTAATCCATAATTTTGTTTTTCAAAATGCCATACTTACCATTTTTATAAAAGTAACTGTTGTTTATACTAAATGTAACATACGCTTAAAAATAATTATTTCAGAACTTTGTTATTATTAATAAACATAATATAATTCACTAACGCATAAGTTAAATTTTTACTATATTCAAATCTTTGTTCAGTACTTTAAAATTTCATTAAAAATAGTGTCAGAGTTAATAAACAATTTGAAATTTTGTAACATGACTTTTATTGACAATTTCAATGACATTAAAAACAAAGGTTATGTACAAAAACGCTACCACACATGTAACACGCACGCGCCAATCCAATCACTTTCTGCGAGAATTAAATTATCTTTTGTTTCAAGAGCGAAAACATATGTAGAAAAGATATGAGATGCAAAAAAGTGGGAAGTCTTATTATGTTGCATTGCAAAATTGTAGTTTTATTTAAGTTAAATTAACTTCAATTTTCTACATTTCATTATCAAGTACATTTTTGGAATTTATGTTACTGACGATGAGTTAAGTATTGGTATTTTGACATTTACATTAAGATAACAACGGAAATTATTTACTATTTAATTATTTTCAATTTATTAAAAAAAATTTAAGATTAATTGGAATATACATATGTACATATGTCAGATATTATGCCTAGAAAGTGCTAATGTGATAAACAATGTATTTTAAAATAATAATTTCACAGAAGGGACTCGCGTTTCCTAAGGTAAACTAATTTGAATGAGACATGTTCTAACGATAATATAACCTATAGGTTTGGCAAAACGTCGTTTTCAAACATTTTGGAGAAACTAATTGTAAGCTACGAAGTTGAAGGGGCTCCATTATTATAGCCAATGGTAGGATAACTGCCATAAATCAGGGTACAATTCTTGCTATTAGTAGTTTTTTAAATGTACCTTTTAATTTATTGTTAAGCTATCTCTTTACAAAATGCGAGTTTTAAAAATATAAAGGAACATAAATATGGTTGTGAAAAAAAAAAATAAAACTTATAAATTGCATTTCATGGTTTTATTAACCAATTTTAATTATTTTTATATATATTCGAATTACATCATTTATATTAGGATTGAGCGATAAAAATGAAAATTCTAGAGGCGTTTTAAATCAAATGTTTATCTTAGAAAATGATACATTGTGTAAAGTGCAAATATGCGGCACTTACATATACGTATGAATTTAACTGGATATGGCACAAACTTTGTATTTTTTGCACAGCTTCACCCGATGTATATCATGGTAAACTGTATTTTTTTAATGTTACCAAGATCATTCTGTCAGTTTGGAAACTTTATTATACAGAAATCGAGAAATCGAATGGTAATTTTTTGGAATTGTTCCGAGAGAAGGAACAGCATTAAATTGATATTTCAATTTTTAATATCGATTATAGTTTGTCAGAAAATCCGTTTTTAAGGCCTGTGAAGCGCGCCACTTGAAGCCAGACCCAACTCACCCTGGATTTTTCCCAGGATAGCTTCATTTGGGCAGCGTGCAGAATCGGGTAGGACAATACGGTCTCACTTTTTACGAGACCATCAGAGGTGTTACTTAGCAATTGACACTTGTACAACGTGATCATATTTTTGTAGTAAATACACATCGTTTTACGAAAATTAGCAACTCCTAAGCAATTTTGTGTTCAAAATAAAAAGCTACAATATTATACGGTTTAGTTTTTCGAGACTATCAATGAATACTGTGAATTTGAAAAAAATCTGTAACTATGATAGATGACGTGAACTGGCTCATAAAGGCAAGTATGTATTTACGTAATTGTATCCAAATGATCAGATAAAGCTGGAGACATATGAGCGTTTAAATAACGTCCGTTGCGACAAAAATACAATTGACTTGACCGTATCTGTTTAAATGCCAACTTATTCTATAATGTCGTTAATTTTTTTTTGTAATTCTTTTTGTGCTTTTAAACATTCGGTACTATTTGTTATATATATGTATATATCTCGTAAATTATAATTTTTGCATACTTTTGTTTATTTATGTATAGTTTTGTATATTTAGAGTCTAAATTTTAGACTATCTGTTTGTTCTCTAGACTTATCTTAATAATTACTTTTTTGTATCAAAGGACTTATTACCCTGTACAATTTGAATTAAATGAATTAAATTAAAATACAATATTATTATTCGAAAATTATTTTATTCAATTGAATTTGCATTCAACGTACAAAATGAATTGTAATATATTATGTTGATATGTGAAATAAAATTAATTTCTATATTTCTCTAAATTTTATTAGGTATATGACATTTCATACACAATATAAATTTAACATACACATAGTATTACATATCTGAATATGCTTAACTTGATCACATTACTACGTTTTTAGATTTTTAATTGATAAAAAAGGAAGTGTATATGATTTACATATACCTTGTAACGACTAGGTCGATTTGTCATTTCGTGCTTAAAGTGACTAGACGTGAAGTTAACGTAGACAAAATGTAATATTGTTTACGTCGCTTATTGTATAAGCCATTAAATATAACAAAGATTGGACGTAAAATTTATATAGTAGGAATGTATGTGGATGACGTAATACTACTTCTTAATAATGTATCGGATGCTTGTGGCGTTGCAGAACCTTTACGAGAGGAACGTTTATGAGGATGAAGATTAAGTGGTGGTAAATTTGGATGTTCGATTCGTGTTGGTGAGCTAACACGAGGGCGTGAGGTTCCTCTTTGTATACCTGTAACGAAAGTCAAATTAAATTAAATTTAAGCTAATAAAGTTCATTAGTTAAAATAATAACAAGCAAGGGAAAGTGAGGTAAAAGCGAGTATCTAACTTAACCTAACCTATTTTTTTTGTACCAACAACAAATCAAAGGGCAAAAGAATTCTACACCGTTAAGTGGAGTTTACAAAGTAGAAAATGAGATATTTTGTTCATAAGAAAAATATTTACTTATCAAGAGAAATAAGATTTTTCAAAAGTAAAAATCTTTTTTTAAAAGCAATTACAAAATCTTTATCTTTGTCAGTTAAAAAATTAGTTAATAAACTTATTTTAAGAACAAAAATCGTAAACAAATGTATCGTCCTTCTCCTCGACATTAGTATAAGCCTCACTGGGCCCACCTTCGGTATACAATTCAATGAAACCAACCGTCTTTGGATTTCGAATGAACATATCGTTCATTGCAAAATGTGCGGGCTTCATTAAGATTTTCCTCTGAGGATGAGTTCTCTTCCTGATGATGTTTTTGCTTTTTGGCCACATATCACAGCTCTTATCACATAGAAACAGTGTACTCGGTTTGATCCGCCTACCCGATTTTGCTCTACTTTCCCCTAATAAAGTATTACCTGGATCACTTGATTCCAAAACATCATTGAGCTGATAATAATCAGTCTTTATTAATGAAGGTTCTTCATAATCTACAAACGCAGTGTTATCAAAGGCTTTGTCGTCTTTCAACCGATTTTGAATTGGCGTAGTTACCGGTGGATCTGCATAAGTCTGCAAAATCAATAATCTGTCTTCAGATATTTTAAATGTTTCCCCGCTACATACGAGGAATGTACAATTAATTAAACTACTTTATGAGTATATAAATTCTTCTAGAGTCGGTAATCCGTTCGTATTCTATAATTAATTTGTAATTTCGCCTTACGCTATTTCCTTTATTTTTTTTTTTGTATTATTCAAAAATTTTTTTGAAATCGTACAAATAATTTTTAAGTCTTTTGCAACTTATTTTAAAAATAACTAAAAAGAATTGTTATTATCATAGTTTTGAAAATTAAGGTTTTTAGACATAGATTATTAAGAAAGAGTTCGATTCATGAATTACCGCCTCTCATGTGAACATCCTTTATTCAATGAAAATCATAAAGTTTTGTAAATTGTTAATGAATTAAAGTGTAGCTGCATATATAAACGTAATATCATTAAATTGCCTTAAGTTTTACATGTTCAGTTGGCGTAGTTGAACAGGCACGTTTATGAAATTGTCCACCGCCGATCGTTTCATAAGTATGTTCCTCTAAATAGTGTCTAGTAGTACCCCGTGGCGTAAGTGTAGCCCACATAACACGGCTATCTTGCATAGTATCAGCTGTACAAGGATAAAGAACAGCCTCGTTTTGAATTCTTCCATTTTTCGTTTGTATACCAGATGTTGCATTCGGTATAGAAATCACGCCACTCTTACCACTTCTATTGCTACAGAATAATAATTGATTATTTTTTACATTTTAAGGTTTTATCGTTATCTTTATTAATGAACTTAATCGTTGAATGTTCCACCCCCATAAATATAACGTTACGAAATAATGCTCTTACACACATGTAATATATATTTAGCTGGTAACTTTAAATGTTTTTTTCATCATACATTTTTTGCAAATGATAAAAATGTACACTTACAATTTGCATTTCAAGAGTAACGTCGCTAATATGATGCCTATTAAAGTTACGCCGATGCAAGATGATATTAAAACCAGTAACCACGTATTATCGAATACTGTTCCTGAAAATTTTAACGTAAACATTATTTTATCTAGTTTAAAAAAGAAATAAGCATAATATTTTAATAGAAAATGTTTCAGATATAACGTAATAGAACTTAGTTATATTTTTACTTCTCTTTTTTAAATAAATTTAACGATTAAGTTAATTTAACTTAACAAATAAATTAATACAACACAATGGAATTGTAAATTTAATAGCAAACCTTGCTGTGGTAGCTCTATGTATTGTACTCCTTCAGAACGGCGATCACAGAAATGTTTGCATGGGCTGTCATTAAGATGCGGTGGAAATGATAACAAATCTGTATGTGGATAAAAATCAGAACTTTGTTGAAGAATCGCTGGAAACGGTGGCGGTGGTATGTGAAGAATGTCAGGTGGTGGTTCGAGCGTGCAAGTTGCACAACCCGAATTATTCATCAATACATCGAAACCTCCCATCTATCCTTAACATTGGAAAAACAAGCAATTAGTTTTCAAGTAAAACCTAAATTAAATTTAGTCATTGTTCCCTTTAATCTTTATTCGATTTTGCATTTATACAAATTTATAAAGTAAGATGATAGATTTAATTATATAATATATAGTTGACAATGCGATGTAAATTATTTTATAGAATTAATATAAAAGTTTCGTGTATTTCTTAACTGTACAACGTTTAAAAATGATTGTACTTACTTGTCCACTTTTTCCTCTTTTCTTTTCTGATTAATTAACACTTCCAGTTTCCAATATTTATTTATATTACTTTCAGTTTCATGAAAGAAAACTGGAAAACTATAAGAACAACATGGTTCGCATAATCTTAGGTATTTTTAATCACGAAACATGCAACAATAACTGCGAAAAATACACTATCCTCCTGTGTTAAACAACACCCCTGTATGAAAGTACCATTAGGGCGACTACTGGCTTCTCTATAAGAAAAGCGCACGCGTTGTGGTATTGAGCGACAGCGAAAATTTTACAGCTAGTCTACTCTTTACCTCTCTTTAAGTCTATTACAGTAACAATAATATTAATCTGTCCATTCGCGAAATGTTCTACATGCATTGTATATCGTGCCTGTAATTAAAAAATAACGAAACATGCCATTTTTATTAACGTTAGTTGTGCTATTTGTTTCATATGATTAAAAAAATGAAAAGAAAAGAATATTAATGAGAATTATAATTTGATTATAATTTATTGAATACTTATACAAAATCTGTATAAAAATCTATATATTGTATTTATATTGTCATATAATTTCAAAATTATATTTACATTGATTTTATAAATTCTACTTTTACTCCATTTTGAAATATGAAATAAAAATAAACATAAATGAATATTAATGAACTAAGTCAATGATACAGAATAAATGAAACAAACTATTCAAATGCGTACTAGTAGTATAAATATGGTGCATACATAATCAGACATTGGTAACATACAAAGTAATTTTCCATTCAGTTTTTATTGTACCGAGCAGTATACAATAATTAAATTATAGTTTAGAAAATTAATACACACATTTAAAATATTTATAAATTTGTATTATAAATTATTCAAATAAAATCTTTTATAAATGAGCACATGCTTTTTAAACCTATAACAATACTGTTCACTGGTAAAATCCTTACACGCCGCGGCTTTGCCCCTACGCGCAACGTCTCTATGAAACAAGATTAGAATCTATTTGATAAATGGACAGTGATGGTGGTGTGATGAAGGGGAAGGGGCAGATGTGCACTCGGTCTTACAACTTGTTAGGAGATAGTTACTACAAACCGCGCAAACATTTCATCGTGTTATTTCACCGCTTTAAAATTGTGGAAAGAGATACTCTTGTCTAAACAAAAATCAGTTTTTTAGGAATTAGAGTAATAAAGAAATTAATGAAAGTAAGGTATTAACCCTCTTGCTCCCAATATAAGACGCCCGTGTATTGTTAGAAATACCACGGGAGAAAGAGGAGGTAAGGTTTTATTAAAAAATATCTAGTTAGTACATTTTTTTTACATATTTAAATTAAATTTTTACAATAACTAGAAATTTTCTATAGTTCACGATACCGGTTGGAAACATCCTTCCACTATGAATTGAATTGCCCCATCTCAACCCATGGGATTAAAAGGGTTAGGTTTCAGTTCACCTTTATTATAATTACTTAAATTAAAAAATAATTATAATCAAAATTATGAACTATTATAATCCATGTAAAAAGAATTTCTTAAGATAATTGATACAGTGAATAAGGATATAGATTCAGGAGATGAACTTGTTATATTAGCCATAATATAAACGAAAAGGTTTTGAAAAAAATAAATTTATTTTTACGATAGTGATTTTGAATTATCATTTGTTAAACCATTTGACTAAAATTGCTCATAATATGGACGAAAAGGTGACGACGATGGAAATGTTGTGTAGCAAAACAACCGTTTCACAACCGCTGGTGTGAAACCGGCCTTAAAGAATAGCAAGATAATTAAAATTTTTTATTTATCGTTTAATAATTTATTGTTGATAGAATTTTATATAACCTCTACATCAATTAATTGCGATTATGGAGATAAATCCGTTAAGTATCATACTTGTGAAAAGTGATAGTAAAGGTGATAGACTTTTATTTCGATATCCACATGTAGCAAAACACACACGAGATTCTAATCAATGTACTAAAAGGAAAAATCCTTATTCCCTAACTATCACAGAAGACTTATTGCAAGTTAGTTTTCCTATTTACTTTCAGTATCAAATATTATTGTTTAAATGAAGTAATTAAATACTTATTAAATTTCTTTAACAGTCTTTACCTTTTCCAATTTCTAACATAAGTAATGGAAATTTAACTGGAGTAACTGATGAAGTATTATCAACATTATTTGCTGTTAAACCAGAATTATGTGAACAAAAGTTTGAATTAAAAGTAAATGATGTTCGCTTTGTTGGACATCCAACTTTGGTCCCATCTCATGGATTGAAAGAAGTGAATTCTTCAATGCTTTTCAATATAGTTTTTGCTCTTCAAGCACAAGCAAGTCATTCTATTGTAAAGTGTTACTATGACTTAAGTAGAAGGTGTGTTATGTTATGTTGTAAGTAAATTATCTTAGATATATAAAAGTGGTTAAATCTTGAGTACTGTTTATTTTAGGCTAGGTATAGCTTTAAGGCATGAAGAAAAAAGATGTGGGTTTTTAACAGAAGAAATAAAAATTATGGTTTCTACTCATGATGAAGTTGCTACTAGGTATACAGATTTATCATTTATGTTATTTGATGAAACAAATAATAATCAGAATTTCTTATATCTGATTATAGATCAGAAGGTGAAAGTGATTGTGATGAATCACCATATGAATTAATACTACAAAGAAGTTCACTTGCACGTGATTTGAAGTCTGTATTCAGTAGTCTGAGTACTTCTGGTATAATTAATATTATGATTAATAGATGGATTCAAGTACGTTTCTGCCTTCCCCAAAAGGTTCATCAATCTCACAAGAAAGGATTTGTTATTAATCCAGAAATAATAGACAGGCTAGTATTGTACTAAATAATTGAAAGTTGAAATGAATATTAAATATAAAATTTTATTGTAGATGTTTAAATAGTTTAAGACCTTATCATGGTTTGCTCTTACTCATTGAACCTTTAGATTTATTGGATTCACTTCCAATAGATTCTTCTCCAGCACTTAAACGCCTAATTCAAATGTATAGTCCTTTGAAAAGTTTACAAACTTTAGCTGCAGATTCTGACTTAACACTTACTCAAGTTTTTCAATTAACTGGACACTTAGTATATTGGGCAAAAGCTACTATAATTTATCCTCTTTGCGAAAGCAATGTTTATGTTGTATCACCAGATGCTGTTATTACAAATCAATTGTTAGAAGCCTTTTCTGAAGAATTTCCAGGACTTTGTCTTTTGCAAGTATGTTTAAGAAAATTGTTTATATGATTCACTATTATTTGAATTATGTGTAAAATTAAATTTTTATTGACTTAGGTGCTCAGTGATTTTTCATTACCAACATCTATAAGTCAAAAATTAAATCCTTTGAGTCAATCACAACAACAAACACAATTAGTAAAAATAATAATATGGTTACTAAAGAATCATTTACTTTTACAATTACATACATATGTTCAATACATGCCAACTGTGCATGGTCGTGTATCATTGGTAAGTTTATAGAAAATTATACTGCAAAAAACAAACTAAAAGTTTGCTGCATATTTTCTCAAGGATGCAAAGGATGAAATGAATCACAATTTAAGTGAGATCACAGAAAGTAATAGTGCATGGAATTTAAGTGATATTCCAAAAGGTACTTCGTCTGACATAAAGGAAGAATTATCAATGACACTTCATAAGGAAAATGGAATATATAATTATCAGTCGGAAGATTATGATATTCCATCAGATGATAGAAAATTACTTGATAAACTGTGTCGTCTTGGTTACTTTAATGGAGGTCACCATTTAGAGGAGATTATGTATTTAGAAAATATTCGTAGATCTCAATTACTGCAAATTTTAGATAAATTTAGAGATATATTGATTACATGTGAATGTGAAGACCCTGCTATAGCTCTTTTCTATAGTCAGTTTGGCTCTTAACATCTTAGTTTTGAATATGTATGAAAACGATCTTTAATTATGTATAAACGTTTTGATAGCATTAATTAGAAATGTTATAATATATTAAATATACAGGATGAGATAGAATGAGTGATACAACCAACTAAGAAATAATTTTATACGTAAAAATAAATTACAAATATAAAATCAAATTTTTCTATAATAAGTTTAATTTTTGAGAAAAAGAAATTTTTATATTTGTTTGGTGCACATGTCTGTTTGCAGTTGTATGTTAATAAATTGGTTTAAGTATTTAATTTTTTGTGTGTAATCTTCTGTACCTAAAAGAATCAGAAAGCTTAAGGTTTCAACATTCAAAATAATGCAGCATAGGGTAAACTTCGAATGGAAAGTTTCTCCCTCTCCGTCTTTGTTACTATGATGCGAGATCGCTAAATAGCACAGAGCCGCTCATCGAGTTGCGCATGGAGTACACATATTATACATTTAGAAGTATAGGATTCTATACTTCGTGTAGGAGTACTCGTCGAGGTACTTATTTAACAATACAGAAATGAGTAAGACAAAGGAAAGAAATACATGTAGAAAAAGATAGCATCAGAGAAACGAGTTAGATAAGGATAGCACTAGAAAAACGAGTTAAACAAAAAACGATATATGTATGTAGAGGTAGATAAGGACAGGAAAATTTCAAAAATAAAACTAGCGCCATCCCGTGTTTGGCGACTTGAACTACGACTTTGTAACAGGAACACAGAATGTGAACAGAGGTATTAGACAAGAAATGCACTATACAGGGTGTCCCGTAACTCCTCGACCACCTGGAAATGGGGAGTTGCTGGGGCGACTCTGAACAACTTTTTCCTTTACCAAAATGTTGGCTTCGCTTTTGAATTATTAACGAAAAACACTGGCCAATCAGAACGCGCGTAGAACCCGCGCCCAGGCACGGGGGAGCGCAAAGACTCATCCGCGCGCAATCTTGAACAAACGCGTATGCGTGACTTCTCGGTTATCGGTCGCTGTCACAAAAATTTGACTTTGCACCGTTATTTTTATAAGGTTTAGAGAAATGATTTCTTGTCGTCATTTCGATGTTTGTATAACAATACATACATACCTAACGGCGATGCAAAAAATTTGCGACCGGCAAAGTGTTCAGTTAAGAATAATGTGGAATTATTTGTTATTCATGAATAACAAATAAGTCGTTTAATAACTGTGTTCGATACTTTTATTCGTTATCCGAAAGGAATAAAGTATTTTATTACTTATGAAAAATTTACCCACTCGTCCACGAATTAATCTGTTTCAACGGAAGTGGGTCGTTGGCACTGGGTCAGTGTGTCGATCCTGCCCTTTCCAGGCAATCCAAAACAGCTGATGTTACGGCCGGGTCGGTGAACTCATATGATTGGCCCTCGCCAAATGTCGCGTACTCCAGTGAATTTTCAAATTCATTGTTTTCATTAATGAAAAAATATCCTCTACTCAATTGCATTACTTGTTTTGCAGAATTTCGTGCAACAATAATATTGTATTAAAAGCAAACATCATAGTCCAATAAATTAAATACCAAATTTCTTCTAATTTGTAAACTATGTAATCTTATATTTATGATGTAAAGATTTTGCTTGAAATTTAAAGAAATTTGAAAAATAGAGCTATTTTTATGAAAACAGCTTCATTTAATACTGTGTTTATTGCTTCTTAAAAAAGTTTATGATTTCAGTATGTCAACTATAATACATCTCCTTAAAGAAATTGTAAATATCTAATTAAATTAAAAAGAATTCAATTCTAAAATATCACTGAAAGTTGTTTCCTTTATTTTGTTTAATACAAAACATTTGTTACAAAAAACCCGTAATATTTACTTTCTAAATAGTATTCACAGAAAGTGTAATACTAGTTACACAATGATTATGTTACATTTAAATGTAATTTAAGTAATTTTTAATTTTAATAAAGAAAATAAGACTAGGCACCTAATGATTTATCCTAAGGTAATGTTTGAGGTACGAAGTAGTAGTGATGTAACTGAAATATTTACATGTATTAATTTATGTAAGTTTCATACAATAACTTCAAATTTATGCTATAAAATCAAATTTTTTAATTTCTTAATAAATTGTTAATCGTGAAATATTGATTAAAGTTTAAGTATTAATTTTCATAATGTACCTATTAAATATATTTTACAATATATTAATTGTGCATATTTATTGTACAAAATTTTTCTCATTTCAAATTTTTAAATATTATTAAAACGTATTGTCAAAGTAATATTACTGACTAAAATTTTGAAACAAAATAGTAATCAAGTAATTTGCATAATTTAGTAATAACTAAATGCATAAAAAATGTTTTGTAACATAACATAAAGTTACTCACAACTGATTAACTTAGTATATATCAAAAAATAATTACTTAAAATATTATAGAAAATCTTTAAAATGATTTTAGAATTTTTAAGTACTTTTTATATCGTTGTTTTTTTTAAGTTTTATTTTCTAGTGCCATGTTTATGCTTTTTTAAAAGGGTGTTCTATTAAGTGTGGTAATAATAAACTTTAGTAGAAACTATACCTTTTGATTCGTTAAATACATAAACCTATACTTTAACATCAATCTAATGTTATTTTAAGCTAGAATACATGAAAATTATATATATTACAAATTTATAAATATCAACGAACACGAGTTTTTAGAAATATATGTCTTAACAACAGTATATGGATGTATCTCGTTTTAGAGGTTCTTATTTTTTTTTAATGTATGTATATTATCATAGCTTATCCCTAGAATAACTTTGCATTCTCTTTAGTTTTTTTAGAGCACATTTTGCTGCAGTGCATTTTGCAATTCTGTAATTTCTTCCAATTCCTTTAAAAGAACCTTTACCAAAAACATCCACTGTAACTCTAACTCTACGTCCATCAGCCAATTTTTCTGGGTTTCCAAATTTTGCTGTTTCAGGCTCTAATTCCAATAATTCACGAATTGGAGATTTAGGAACATTAGTGCTGAATTGTTCTGGAATTATAAAATATTGTATGGTAAAAAGCATTCTTTTTTTTACACAGTAAAATATATATATAAGGAAAAAGAATAAATTACCGATTTCATTTTTCATAATGGCATAATAAACACCCCATACTGCATCTAAGGACATTCCACTATCTAAATAAATTGCACCAGCTAATGATTCAAAAACATCACCTAATGCTTTTGGTACCTCTACATCCTCAGCTTCTTCGCATTCTTCTACTCCGATTAAGTAGTACTAAAAAAAAAAGAAAAAAAAAACGTAAACAGTAAAATATAAAGATATACAATATGGATATGTTCCTTTAAAATTTATTTACCTCTTCACTAATGGAATGACCATTTTCTTCTTGAATTCTAACAAAACGATTTATAACAACACTTAAACCAGGAGAAAGATGTCGAAAATATTTATGAAATCCACATCTCACAGCTAAAGAAGCAAATATAGTATTATTAACTAAAGCAGATCGTAAATCTGTTAAAGCACCCGGAGAGTGTTGTCGAGCGTCTTCGTATAAATGTCTTGTTATTAAATAATCTAAAATCACAAATTAGTATATTAAACTTTATATTGTAAAAATATAATAAAATTGAGCTAAAATAATTTATTAATTACCTAAAACTGCGTCTCCAAGAAACTCTAAACGTTGATAACAATCTGTTAATCTATTAGGTTGATATGATGCATGAGTAAATGCTTGTAGCAGATAACTAATGTCATGAAACTTATATATTTCCCATAACGAATCTGTAATGACGAATTTGTTTTGAAACATTCTTTAAAATTAAATGTTACAGTATAGTCTAGTTTTAAAACATATTTAGAGATACATTTATTATTACGTATAAGTAATAAAACATATTTAGAAACATATTTATAATTACAAATCAATTATAATTACTTGTGACCATGTTATTTGACTTCTTTCATTCATTCCTTTTATATATGGGGTACTGCCGGAAATTCTTTCTTTTGGTTCAATTTCTTGTACAACATGAATTTCTTCTGTAGGTAAAACATGAATTCCTAGCCAGGCCATGAAAAGTAATGCACCTCTAGGCCCACAAGCAATTAAGTAAGCTCCAATTAATGCCTCTACACAGTCTGCGATACTTTTATCAGGAATGCTATGTTGAGTAATTAAATTGTATGGTATAAAACAGCGCAGATTATCTAAATTGTTCGAAAATGTAGCTTCATTGCGATCAAGTTCATTTTTCATAATACCCAGTTTTTGTTCTGTTTCTCGAACAAGTTGGGTTATTTCAGTGGGATTTACAGCTTGTAGAGTTGGAATGTCGGCTTGATTCCATAAAGTAGAAGGTACGCCAGATTCGATTAATGCTTGTTCAAGCTCTTTTGGAACGTAATAGCAAGGTGGTAACCAATTGTCATGTGGTTCAAACTTTGTTGCTATCATACTCTCACCTAACATCTTTTGTCTTCCTAATCTGTATAAATTTAAATTGCTCACCTAGAAAGTTTTATTACATTAAAATAAATTACTACATCCAATAAAAGTAATTATTATTTTGAATTTTTTATACCTGTTTGGACCTTAAATGACTGAGCTTTCCTTCATGTATATTGTCATATGTACAATATAAATAAGTTGTTATAGCATATTTTAAAAATGAATCTCCAATAGTTTCCAAACGTTCTAAATTAATACCATCGTTTGCATTGGACATAGTTAAAGCTTGTAAAATTAAACTGGGACTTGGCCCTGGATGATTTTCTAATTCCGGTTGATAATCAAAACTGAAAAGATTACTATCCGAATGGTATGTAAATTCCGATTTATTAGATTTGTTTTTTGTTGGGTGTAAGCTGTCGTTATTATTTAATATTTCATTAGTGAATTTATTAACAATGGTTTCTATATAAGCTTTGTGTTTATAAGCTGATAAACATTTTTCAGTTTCCACACTAAAGGAATTTTTTCTTTTAATTACAATTTCTTTATCACACGGTATAAAAGATCCACTTTCTATTATTTCATGCTCCTTTATTTTAGTAAATTCATAATGAGCTTGTCTATGCTTTTCATGCTTTTCAATTAAAGATTTCTCATTCTCTTTTGTATATGACCATAAAATATCATCCAAATTTTTTTCAGTTTCTAACAAATCTAAAATTTTTTTGTTAATTTCTTGTTTAGTTATTTGTTTTTCATCTTCTACAGCTTCTGCAACATTTTCTCCCATGTAAGAAATTCGCAATCCTCTGTTTTCATCTTCACTTTCATCGGAAGTGTCGACAAATCCATCGCTATAAAGATCATCTGATTCATATCCATCAAAATCTGACTCACATGCAGGAAATCCATATTGAACATCACTCCAATTGAAATCATTTGGTAGAACAGTTACGTTTATAGGAAATGATTTTAAATCACTTGTACCAAAATCCATAGAATTCATTGCCATATCACTTGACCAAGTACCAATTTCTAGTTCATTTTCATTGTTTGACATTTGTTGTTCTGTTTCCCTTACTTCATCATTTTCTAACTGACATTCATTTTTCTTTTCATTTGAATCATCCTTATCTGATTTATGCAAATTATCTATTACATTTTCAGATATATTTTGGTACTTACTAACTACATTATTTGAAGAATTTAATGGCGTAGTTTCATTTTTTATTAACTTTGCTTTTTCAGATTCTTTAGATTTTTTTAAAACTTCTGCTAAACTCCACCCAAAATCTAATGCTGGCCATTCGAAATCTAAAATAGCGTTATATTAATATCAATTTAGAAAAAATAAAAATGGTCTTTATAATCTTATATTTACCGGAATATAAATTCTCTTTTCCTAAATTTATCATTTGTGCAACTTGACATCGTATCTGATTAGCTAGTAATAAAGCATTGATTCTATATAAAATACAAGGTAGACAAACTGCTTGTCTCCATAGTGATGCCGGAAAAGGATGAATTGCACATAATTCAGCAACAAGAATTTGCTTTTGTTCTAGATTTTCGCGCTTTGCACGTTTTGTTTCTTCACTACTTGTAGGTAAAGCAACACCTTTTCGGTTAACGTATCTGAAATGGAGTTATTAATATATAAATATGGTAATAAAATTATAAACGCACTTATACACTTTTCGTAATATTTACCTAGGTGTTAAAAAATTTAATCTAGCTGATGTATGATCCACATCCAATAAAGGCTGATCTAAATTTTGTATCTGTATATTATATTTCTTAAGATAATATTCTTCAAAAGTACTATAATCGTCACCAGGGAAAGAAGATTTGGGATTTAAATTCGTACATATTTCAGCGACGTAAAAATACTGGAATTAACAAAAAGATGTATTTTATTTTTAGTCATAAAATTTGTTCACTTACAATAAAAACATAAAAATACCTGAGGTTGATCCTGACTTCTATACCAAGGCATAATTACTGCATCATGGTATTTTGATGCATCAAACTTGAAATTCTTTCTGACATCTTCAGGAATTTTAGTTGGCACTGCATTTCGATTTTTGTATATACATTCTAAAAAGTCCCAATCTACAGTGACATCAGATTGTTCATCTGTTAAAAACAGATTTCTATAATGATAAATATATAATAAACGACATACACGCGAACGCACACATACCACAGTCACATAATATTAAAAACTCCTCAGAGTATTCAAAATTACCTAATTTTACAGGTACAATCATATATGAGTTTTCAGAAGCATTCGGATCAAAAAGCATTAAATACTGTTGTAATCTTAATACATTTGTAAAAGTATAGTTGAGAAAAGTAGCAACTTTTTTTATTTGTTCTTCATTTAAAATTATTGTCTGTTTACTAAGCTTCAACTTTACATGAACTTCACCAGATCTAGTATAAATAGGAAATGGGCATAACTAAAATAAAAAATTAAATACTAGTTATCTTTACACAAAATTAAAGTTATAAGTGATTTTTATTTTATAGTTATTACCTTAGGAATTTCTTTCAATGTTATTATGCCAAAACCAATAGCTGATTCTTCTGGAGGGTAAATACGTCGACCTCTAGTATTTTGTTCTTCAGGTAAAGGGCAACTCAGAACCATGTTAATATGATATAAATATGAAGGGATTCCGACTATTGGTCTACAATCTGTTAATGCTTCAGCTGTCTGAAAAGAATAGTTTAATATTAAAAGCACGATAAATTATATAACATGTAATATGGTGAAACAAGTAAAGTATACATTATTATAGTTATTTTTAATACATAAAACCTTTTTGTAATAATATTGTCTTCGTTTAGTTGTTCCAGGTCGAGCTTCAGAAAAATCTACTTTACTTTCATCTGGAAGAGCAGGTACTTCCGCATCTTCTGGTTTAGCTATAAAATTTTCTTTTCCAATAGGTAATAAATTATCATCTATTTCATTTTTTCTGTGTAAATCAATACATAATTGCAAAGCAGCCATTCGTCTTGCCATAGCTCTATTAGGCATGGGATATGACTAAAATGAAAGTAATATATCAGTATGCTGAAAAAAATTAAGCACTAAATTCTTAGTTACAGAGAAAAATACACACCGATACAACATATTTTACTGGAGAATTTATAGGAAGTCGTAAAGAACATACATACATAGGTGTATTATCATAATTTATTCTTTCAATGTGCCATTCTGGAGTTAGTCTTGTAAAAGTATCACTAGGTAATTTTGCACAGTATCTGCTTAAGCAAAATTTTATAACACAAAATAATTTAAAAAATTTTAAATATAAAACGTTAGAAATGTTTCCATTTTTACATATTCATCATTTTATACTACCTGTTCACTAATGATATAGCAGAATTAAACGTAACTTTGGGTGCATCATCTCCAGCAAGAGGTTTATAATGTGGTATTATAGTAGCATACATATCTGCTTCATTTTCTTCTTCTTCAGAGGGTTCGTTATTAGAACATTTTATTAACAAAGTCTACAAAATAGATTGATGCTCTTCCATTAAAATTTTCGACTGGGATGGACACAGGTAATGAACCACATTAAATGGCTGATATTAAAACTGGTACACACTGAAGGTCATGAATAAATTAAATCGAGCGGACGTTACAGTCATTAATCAAACATCAGATCCACTTCATATATTCGATTAAATTTTACCACAATAATTAATTAAAATAATTAAGAAAAAATGTATGTATGCACCACAATTTGATACCTTTTCTATATAATGATATTGAGCCAACTGCCATATATACTCCTTTGATACTTCTTGTGATAGTAATAGTATATGTAAAGCATCCACAGCTCTTGCTCGACTTTTGCATTGTACATAGGACTGGTAAGTCTTTGGAAAATCATATCTCATTACAAAGTTGCATTTTGGAATATCAATACCTAACAACAGTAAAATAGTATTAAAATTCACATAAATCATTAATTAATAAAAGTAAATTACTTAACACTAATAAAATAATTGACAACAAACCTTCTTCTAAAATTGAAGTTGAAATTAATAAGTTGCATTCATGTATTCTAAATCTTTTCAAAACTTCTTCTTGTTTTCTATGTTTTATTTCTAAATCTTTCGAGTAACTTATATCGTCACTATTTCTTTCAATTGCATATAAAGGTGACAAAAAATGTAAATCTTCATCATGTGTAGATATTTCGTTTAATAAATAAAACAACACTTTTGCCACAAATGCCTTATCCACAAAGATTACTCCACAAAGTAAATCAGGATCTGTAACTCCACGCATGTGTCGTTGAGGTTTGAATGGTTTTTTACAATTTTCTTCATTACCTTTCCAATTACATTCTAATTTTTTAGTTTGCATAGGTTTATCTTTAATAGAATTTTCTTTAGTATGTACAGATAACTTTAGAGAAATATTTTCATTATTTACTTTATTATTAGAATTATTGATATCTTTAGTGTAATATGGTGTATATGTTTTTAAAATTTGTAGTAGTCTGTGAACTTTTGGTGTAGTATATTTATATATTCGTTCTTTCTCAGATAAAACTTCAAATGCATTATCACACAGAGCTCGTATTTTCATAAAAACAGATGCAACCATATTTAATAACAAATAATGTCTTTCATAAGGTGTTTTCATTTTCAATTTTTCTGTTAAAATTAAAAGAGCAAGAGCAGCACGATCTGCACACCATGGTCCAAGAGTTTCTAATATATGCAAAAAATCTTGCATCATCTGAAATGGTTTCTCTGTAGGATCAGGTATTTTCTGAATATCTTCATAGAACTCTTCATTATAAATCTCAGTTGGGTCATGACGATGATCACGTAAAAATTCAATAGCATGTAATATATAATTTTCAATAGTATCATATAATTCCCCTTTTTTATTTTTAGAACATTCCACTACATATTCTTTAGGTTTAGGGCTATAACTATTTAAGAAATTATTATCAATTAAACAGAAATATTATGCAATAGAATATGTATTAACCTTATATTTACCGTAATATAGATAGTATATCACTAGCTGTTTCAACTTCACACTTAAATGTAGCTTCTACTTTTTCTATTTCTAATCCTAATCTTCCAGGTTCTTGTGTCAAATTAAACAATGGTACAGCTAATCCAATAATTCTAGGAACATTAACACAAGATAAAAATGTTTGTAAAATGAATTTTAATTTGTTATCTTCTATAGATTTATGGCACTCATCAACTATGACTAGATTTATCTGATGTGGTAAAATTTTTTTGTCTATTAATAATTGTGCACATGTTTTAGAAGTTGTAACAAGTACCTAAAAAAAATCATTGTGAATTAAAAAAAAATAATAAACAAGTGCCAATTTCTTAGAAACACATTAATACTGTTTCTTACATGAGAAATTTCAAATTTTTCTATAAATTCCATTTGCATACATGTATCCCATAACAATACTTTTAAATCTGTTAACTGTTGTATATAACTTGCTTTTATTGCACATTTTTCGTTATCTGTTAATATGTACAACGATCGTTTTCCTCCTTTACTTAACAATCTAAATAATAATTTCTTTAATTATTATTTGAACAAAAATATTCAATAAAAGAATATATTATGAAAAGAAACTAATTAAAGTTATATAGTACATATTACCGTCTGTTATTTGTAGCAAATTCTTGAATCAATTTTATAACAATAAAAGTTTGTTCATAATTTTTTCCTAGACAAACAATAATGTTTTTGTTTTTAGAAGCATAAAATAATTCCACCTGTAATAACAATTCTTTTAAAAGATTTTGTATAAATCTGATCGTTCAGTGGAAATGCCATGGAATCTATAACTTTCACTATTGTAATATGATAAAAATATTATTCTTAACTACACTAAAAATATAGTTATCCTTATAAGATTTATTATTTAGATCTTAATTAAATTTTAATTTAAGGTTAGGCTAGAGCAACTACAGTAGATAATTATCATACTCAATACTTGATACATCACTACACACAATATGTGTACATGCATACTATAATCGCAATCTGATTGGGTAGTGCTATTTAACCTAAATTCTTCAAAAGTTTAATAAATAATATTGAAATTTTAATAA